GTATCAGGATTTAAAACAGGAAATCAAGAAAGGGGAGGATGTTTCCAGCAGGGTGACATAACATACAAACTCGTGAATGTATCACTCAGGTTTGCAAAGTCTGTGGACATTTGACGTTGGTGTGATAGAGGCGATATCTTTTATTAGACCAACTAGATAGTTGCAAAAAATGTTCTTTATTTGTAAGTTTTCAGGCTCATGAGCCCTTCCTCAGGCAAAGGAGAATGCAAAGACTGTAAAATTTCTCCCAGGTAGAAATGACACTTCATATTGTACAGAAGAGCTGGAGGGCGCTATAAGTTCTCCTGGCTGGAAAAATTCAGTTTATGCAAATTAGGCTCGGGTAAAAGTTGGAGCAGTTTATTTACCTCAAAGGTGTCTGATGGCAAGCAGGATGTTGAATTATGCTTCTTTCTACAACCTTTATCCCTGGAAATTTGTGGAGAACTTTGGCTCAGATATATACTTCTCACTTTCTGTTTCTTGTTCCTTCTGTCAAATTTCCATTACAAACTGTTGAATTAGAAAGTTTAGTAGAATTGTAGTTGTCAGAATTTTTGGAGTCACCATAGAATTTCCAGAATTGTAAGGACATTCCACCTTGAGATGAAGCCCCATCTTGGCACCATGAAATGGCTGAGTGATGCCAGAAAAATCAGATATCAACATGAACACTGCGTGCCCCTGGAGGCTGGTGGGGTACAGCAAGCTGCTGCAGGCAGCGGTGGCAGTGCTGTCAGCAGTGGGAGCATGCTGGCAACAAGCATGGAGCTCCTGCAGGCAGCCGTGGTGCTGCAGTGGCAGCCCAGGGTGGGTGGCAAGTGCTGACCAGTGGTCAGTGACCACCCATAGACACCACCAGCAGCATCGGCAGTGGTCAGTGGCGATTGTGGATGACCTGCAGATGCTGCTTATGGTGGCAGCAGTGAGAGGGAGCGGTGGCAAGCAGCGACCACCCACAGGCGCCACTGGCAGTGTTGGCAGCGCCTTTTTGCAGGGGGTTCATGTGCACCCACGTGCAACCCTATGGACCCCCTCTATATATATGTATACTGGGAGAATAACCACTTAAAAACCTTCCTGTTGCAAATGAATTCAGGGAATTGGGTGTAACAGAGAAGGAGGGAGATGAAAAGTCTTGCTACTGGCTAGGATTTTGTAGTGAGACTGCTGAGCAGTACTGAGTACGTGCTTGGGTTGACTGAGCTCTGGTGTCTCCTGAGGGACCTCTGATGGGGGAAGGCCACACAAAATGACAGCAGCCCCAGAACTCCAGTTCTGGCAGCTGAATACAATTTAGGGTGGTTAATTTATCAGTTCTTATCTCCACCAGTTATCAAGAGAGACCATGATGGATGCATTGTCATTGTCTAGCTCTTAAGATATCCGTGACAGAAACAACATGTAAAGAGTGGGGAGGAAGTGTCAACTCATCATTGGAATACAAGCTTGATGGAGGGGCTGTAGCTGTATTTAGGCTGCTGCCATTATTTGCAGCAGTTCCATGAGACAGATTGGGGTCCCTCTAATGGCATGTATGTCAACGCTCCAATAGATCGAGTGAGGAAAATTAAAAGCCATACCAGGAGTGCTCAGAAAAACAAACACATAAATAAAAATAATAAGAAACAGTTGGATTGTTCCTTTCTTTTTATTTTTCTCAGCTGTTAATAAAAAAATGAAAGAAACAAAATCGGCAGATGCGGAAGCGGTGACTGAAGTAACCTGCAGGACCTATTCATACCAACTCTTGAAGAACTATCCACTTGAATGAGTTGTGACTCAGGAGCATCAATTCCTGTAAACTTTAAAGCTGCATAAAAACAATTCTCATGCCTGAACACAACAGACACACTTGTTCTGCAGGGACAGCAAGGCTTAAGCAATTAAAGGTTCTTTACTTCAACATGAGGAACGGTGGGCGCTCTCTGCTATTTCTTTTTTTATAGTTCACAAAACTTTATTGTCACCTCAATCCTGAAAAGGTATTTAAAAGCCTGAGCATCCAGGTGTGATCCTAAGAACGAGCTACTTTTGTTATTACCACTGGGGCTCATCTTAGCTACAACACTACCCTGAAGTTTTAATGAGCTAAATGTCAACATGGGAAAGAAATCAGGATGATTTAAAAATATGGAGATGATGCATACACAACTGTGAGTGTTTAGACTGTCAAAGGCATCCTGCCTACAGAACATGCAGGGAGACGGAAGCTGAGTCATAAGGATCACAGCCTCACTTCTTCTTTCCTAGATTTTTTCCTAGTATAAACAAAGCAAAACACATTTGTTGGGTCACCCTCCATACAGCATAGCGTATACGGTGTGTACAGAAGTTGCTTTTTTCACCATTTAAAGCCCTTTGCCGTGACTTAACAGAAATGCATGGCTTTATAGTAGGGCTGTGCAAAATTTCGCCGGCCGTTTTGTTTTGACAGTTTTGACCAATTTCAAGGTCGAAACAGGAAAATTGGAATGAAACAAAGGCCGTTGAAATAGCCTCAAAACAAAACGAGGCTAGTTGAAACATTTTGAAAGTTGAAATGTTTCGATCATAGGCTGGGGATAGGAAGTCAGTCCAGCTGGGTTGACCTCCCATCCCCCACGCTAGATCACACTGGGGACAGGAGGCAGCCCAGCTGGGCTGCCTTGTCACGCCTGGTGTGATCTAGCGCTGGGAATGGGAAAGCAGCCCAGCTGGGCTGTCTCCCGTCCCCCCCCATGCAATCTAGCGCCAGGGATGGAGAAGCAGCCCAGCTGGGCTGACTTCTCATCCCCAGCAAAATGCTGAAACAGCATCAAAACAGCCATTCTGTTTCAATGGAATGGAATGGAACAGCTGTTTCAACTCAAAATGAAATTCGAATTGGAAGGCTGTTCCATTGAACTGTCAAAACTGAAGGCAAAACAGAATGGTGCCCTTTCACACAGCCCTACTTTATAGCACTTTAAAAATGGGCACAGAGCTTTAAATTAACCCTTGTTAAATGAGGTATTAAACTTGAAGCACTGTATTTTACAGCACTTTAGCAACCTACAGTGCTTTAAATAACTTCTGTACATTGGTCAAATTTCTCACCAGTGGAGAAGCCCCAGGAGGCTGCCTAGGACCCCCTGCCTCCTAGCCTGGAAAATGCAGAGAGGCTCAGAGGCACTCTCCTTCCCCAAACACTGCACTTCTGTCATGTTTAAGAGACCTGTCACTTTATAGTGCTATAAAAAGTGCTCTAAATTACAGCATTGTAAAACATACACAAAGCATGCCTGCAATGAGCAAACTTTGGTGTCCTTCTTATTGAGTGTTGTTACAGGCAGGCTGACAGCCCCACAGGGCAGTCCAGGGAATAATTGATGAATCTGATAATTTAGTCCTAGCAAAAGGGCTTCTGGGTCAACTTTTCTAACTTCCCCTGCAATGACTGCAGGAGAGAAATCAACTGCTGAAATATTTGCTACCAAATATATGATTCAAGAAGAGCACAAAGAGAAACCACTCCAGCCTGAAAATTTTGCCCTGCAAATAACTGTGCTCACACTACCTAGGGGACTCACTCTTTCTTTGCTGATCACTTCTATCCAGGTTTGCGGTTGCCCCTGTGACTCTCAGAGGCAACCTCTAGCTGGAAATGAATTGTGGACTGCTTCAGTGCTTTATAATATATTTATACGTTCTCCATTGATGATCTCACTGTCTCTTTAGAGTAGCATCCTCTCAATTGCAGCTTTGACCCAGGAGAGCTGCTCAAGCTTCCAGCCGTCTTGCCTGAACTGCCTAGGAAATGACACTCAGAAACAAAGGTCAGACACAAGAGAACATACAAAGGGACATTATTTATTCAAACTGGAGCTCTGTTACTGGGTGAGACTTCAGAGCATCTCCTGGCTGCTGTCATCTAACCTGCTCTACTTAATGCTGCTTGAGGAAGCTTAAAGGAATCATTCTATCTGAACTACTCCTTTTCCCTATGGAAACAGTTGTACCCCTCTCTCAGTGCAGTTTACCTCTGATCACACGCACACTTCTATTTAAAAAACAGCCTCACTGAAATGGCAATGGCTTGGTCTGTGTATGGCACCAAATCTGGTCTGCTAAGAAAACTGGCTTAGTTGTATTTTTACTTTTTGTTTCATTCCTTTCCCTGTCCTTCTCTCAAACATTAAATCAAAGAGAAGAGAAAGGCTTTCAAACAGCTATGTTGGAGCTGTAAGGCGCTGGTTCCACAGCAGGTTCTTGCAGCAGGCCAGATCCTTGGAGAAGTCAGAATTCTACCTGACTCTGGTGCAGGAGGGTCAAACCACTGCGAAGAGACACAATCTTTTCTCCTCTCAGTACCGGCCCCTGAGCATGCCTTAAGGGGTCTTTAAGCTACAGTTACAGTTTGCTGTAGCCTGCTCCTCAGCTTGTCTATGCTTGGCCCTTAGACAGTGTGAAAAGTTTTGTGGCCTATTCTCTTCTCCAGTCCCTGCTTATATGTAGGAGCACAGGGCTTGCTGCTATCTGTCTGAGCTATACCCGTGTGAGGCCAAAAGCATCCATGCTAGCCCCACTGAACACTGCATGGGGTACAGCCAAGGCAAAATCTTCTCCTGACACTATGTTTGCACCTTCAGCCTTTCTCTGGACCTGCTGCTGCTTGCAATTCAACTATGTGGCTCTACCCTGGAATAGGACTTGGGTTGCAACTAGGAGACTACAGCTTACAGCAATCCACAATGCAGTCTAAGCAAAAGCTTGTGAAGGTGGATAGAGGAGTGCATTACAGAGTGCCTGGGCCAGGCTCAGAGGCTGAACAGACTAGGGAACCTATAGTGTCATTCAGTAGTCTAATATACTGGGGCATGTAGCAGCTGGTGAGAAACACTGGTACACTTGCACCCGTCTCTGATTCCTGTTCCACCTAAAGTTTAAAAACAACAGTCTAGCAGTGGCAGCAGCATTTCTAGTCAGGCAGTGCTGAGGGAATCATTTGACTTCATGGCTTATTATAAGCTACCTGATCTCTTCTAAACTCTTCATTCCACAGCTGTTAATGACCATCCCTCCTTTTTAATGGTCCTGATAGTCCATAATCAAGCAAGCCTTTGTTTTGCAATTCTGTGAGCTGCTCCTGGTAATGAAGCTCCTATTTCATAGCCTTGCAGATTGGTTTTAACTCATGCCAATGAAGTTATATTTATTTTAGCCCTAGGCCCCTTGCATATTAGTAAAGCTTCTAGTTTCTTTTTGACTGGAGAAAAATGTGTTGTTTTAGACATTATGAATGCATCTCAACATCTGCACCCCCTCTTCAAAATTCTAGATCTGCCCATGGGAAGCACCATTCAAAAGCATGGCTGTGCCTAAGCACATGGTTACAGTGCCATCTCTTTAAAACCCAGCTGTCACTTCAGACCAGTTCCTTTGTCACTCTGCCTCCCTCTCTTTATTCTGAGTTCATCAGCTACAGCAGACTCTGGAGCCACTAGAAACAACTGCATTTCTACTGCTCCGCTAGATCAGAAGGCGGGGGGATCAGATCTCGTGGGTTCAATCTGGCAACAAGGCAGACGTCATAGTTGTCATGCATGAGGACATTGACGGCCACCACATTCCACTGGTTTTCCCACGTATCCAGCTCTAGGATCTCTTTGGTGATAACTTCATGTCGAGCTGAAAAAGAAAAAGCGGCAGCAATATAAAACCAAAGGCTAAGCCAACAGGGTCAAAGGAGTTTCCACAATTAATGAATAAGTCCAGGTTCTGTGTGAAGTGTCTGTTAAAAGTTCCTTTTTGTGGGGTTATCATCATTCTGTTGTTGTTATCAGAAGGTAGGTTGACTAATGTGCAGTCCATAAACAGAATAAAGCACATGGCATTCTATACTGATCATTATTCCCTCTACTCTTCAATGTTGGGGTGCAACATGGAGACAAAAGGTCCCAGCATGCAACACTTAACTTTGATTCAAGTGGTTCAGCAGCATTGCATTGTGGGATCTACTGTCTTCTGTAAGGCACTCTGCTCCTGGACACTCTCCAACAATGTAGTTTCAAAGAGTGCAAAGTCTGAACACCCCTGCTTTGTGCGATTCAGGATGGAAACAAAGGTAGAAGAAACCTCCAGTGCCTTAAATACACTTGGGCTATTTTGAAGAGTTGAAAAATTTGCTATGAGCAGTCAGAAGAGAACAATGCTACTAAATCAGAGCCAGTCTTAAGACAAGATGCTTTTTAGCAGGGCTAACAAAACTTAACAAAATAGCCACCACATAGGGAGAATTTTGCTTCTGTCAGCTAGCAATGCTGCATTAAACTTCTTGTAAAAAGGAAAAGGAAAAAAAAACCCTTTCTTTGCTAATACAAGTCCTGTACTTTCAAGCAGTTTTGCTACTCAAAGCTAACCTCTTTCCTATAAAAGAAAAAGGGTCTTTCATTTCCCTCACTTTTGCTTTTCATTTTAAAGTTACTTTCTCGCAGCAAGTGACCTTAACCTAAACTTTTCATAATTTGAAAAGATGGCACAGATGTTCTTTGCTGTCTCCCTTCTACAGTTGATGAAACTCTAGATAGTTTTTCCTGGATGCTGAGTTGCAAAGATTCCCAAGTACAGACATTTCACAGCCAACAGGAGAAGAAACTTTCACAACACCAAACATTAAACACCCAGCACTGTTCTCACTGAGATTGGGTGATCTGGTGCCAGGTTGAATTGCTTAGTAGGGCTATGTGAAATTTCAGCGGCTGTTTCATTTTGATGCTATTTCGACTTGTTTCAAGCTCAAAACAGCAAAATCAAAATGTAGAGCTTCGAAACAGCCTCAAAACAGAACGAGGGCAGTTGAAACTTTTCAAAAGTTTCGAAGCGTTCAAGTGTTGTAACTCAAGCTGGGCTTGCCTGCAGGGAAACAGAAAGTAAGGAGAGGGAGGAGGAAGAGTGGGGAAGGACTGCTCTTATCGACTGTGTAGCTGGCCAGTGAGTGTCATCTTTTTCTGACAGTGCTCTGGGGGAGGGATGGAAAAACTGCATAAAAAACAGAACTGGCCTGCTTTCTGTCACCCATGTCATGAGTTTTGCTTGTCAGCAGCCTGAGGTGCAGTTTCACATCTTGCACCTCAGCACCTATCTCCTTGAAACTTGGCCTCAGAAGGGGCTAGCATGCCCGCAAGTTTCATCCAAAGCAGGCAAGAACTAACAAAGTTATAGGCAGTTTTATGGTTCCCCATTATAGCCTACGGGTGAAACATCGAAACAGCATCAAAACAGCAAAACAGTTTCAACGAAACGAAACAGAACAGCGGTTTCAAAACTAAACAAAACTCAAAACAAAACACTGTCCCGTTGAAACAGAAGTTGGAACGAAACACTGCTGTTTCACACAGCCCTATTGCTTAGCGTCTGAACTGGAGCTCCTATTCATCTCTTCCTTCTTGGTTACACTTGATCATTTTTCACATGGCTTCAAAAACTGTTCCCTCACATCTAGTGACCGCACATCACTGTTTATACCATGCCACTGCATGAGTAATTCTGCTTTGTGGATCAAGAAAGAACTTCAGGAAGAACTTTCTGACAATGAGGGTGGCCAAGTGCTGGATCAGGCCATCTGAAGAAGTTGTGGAATCGGCATCCTTGAAAGTTTTCAGGAGCAGGTTGGATAGACACATGGCTGGGATGGTTTAGTCAGGGCTGATCTTGCTTTGAGCAGGGGGCTGAACTAGATGACCTCCTGAGGTCCCTTTCGGCCCTACTTTCCTATGATCTTATGATGAACAAGCAAGGGAAAGAAGAGGACAGAATCAATGAAAAGGACAGCAGCAAAGCTCATATCATCTCCCAATTACTAGAAGCACAGACAGCTTCTTCCCCCTATGAGAACAGTCTTGGGGATTTACCACTCTTCCCTGGAATATCTGTATTGTCTTATCATGATCTTGAGCCATGGTTTTCAAGCTTCCTGAAGTCACAGAACCTTTTTATATAAGCCAGAGAAGCCTGACACCTATTTTAAAGACTGACGTGGAGCCAGGTGACCTAGCCTGGCAGTGGCATCTCACCCCTCCTAGACTGTTCTGCCATTGCCTCCAGTCTCTTTGCAGGACTCCAGATGATCTACCATAGAATCCCAGGGTTTCGCAAAACACCATTTCAAAACCACTGATCAACACCTGCTAATATTATATGCCACAATATCTCCTTGTCATGAGACCTAAAATACATCCAGGGCTCTTCAGCAGTCCAGGAAAGTTGACTTGCACAATGCAGCAGTGAGTCCTATGGAAACAAAATGTCCTTGTAATTTCAGGATAGGCTTCCCACAATTATAATTAG